GGAGAGAATGCAAGTAGAATAAGAAAGAAGAATCAAATACTTCTCACTAGCCCTGTAACTCTTGTTACGTTTCTATATGAGTCTATTGGTCACTTTTATTAATTTTTAAAAATCGACATCATTCTCCCAGCCACTTCCATGAAATTCTCTATTTCTGTTAGTCTCATATTAAGGGAGAAGTAACATCTCCCCTTGCCCTCAGTAATCCTCAAGTTAAAAGTCATTGTCTGGTTCTGTTGACTATATTTTTCAAATCCTAAAACTTCATCCTGCTCCAGACTCTCCAGACTTTGTTTCCTTTTCCTCTGAATTTTACAATATCAATTTGATTCTCTATCTTAAACACTTTCCTCTCTGGTCCATAATAAATATGTAGCAGTATTTAGCACATATAGCATTTAAAATTTTTAAAAAGCACCTTCATATCCAGTATCTAATTGAATTCTCCCTAAATGATTTATTTCCCTTCTACTGATGAGGAAACTGGCAATGAGAGGCTGTCAATTTCCCAACATCATATAACTAATAAGTGGGAGAGGTCTACTCTAGAATCTCTGACTTCACATTCTGTGCTGCTGCAACCATCTCTGTCTTTTACAAAATGGATACTACTCTACCTAAGGTGCAACCTCTGCCCTGTTACTTCTCTGATCAACAGAGATATTGCCTAGGAAGAAGTTTCATCCTGGCAAGCAATACCTTTTCCATTCTGACTCCAGCTTCGATGTGCTAAGTTTCAATCTTGAGCCTTATGGTCCAAGAAAACTGCCCCTTTATGTCCTCATTTACCTGCTTTGTTCACACCTTTCTTTCAGAAGCTCTCATTCTACGTGAATCTTTCTACCCATCTATTGGGTAGCCATTTTCTACAGACAGTGGTTTCCCAGCATCCTCGAGAAAGGTTCTGATAATTTCTATCCATGAACTCTCCAGCCAGTAATGGAAAACAATCTAGGGTCTGAAATGAAAAGACCTGGGTGAAGTCTCATCTAAAAATGGTGACACTTGGATACGTAACTTAAGTTTTTCTGATCCACAGTTTCTTTCCACCATTCGCCTATCAGTTTGTCATACTGTGGATACTTACATATTGCTGTGATTCTGGAAGCTATGCCACTGGTATTTAAATACTATGAGGGTCACTCATAGTGATGGACAGATTTCAGATGATCTTTCAGACTAAGACAGAATTTTTAGTCACTACTTAAGAATATTTAGTCACTGAAAAGCTTATAACAAATAGTAGAACACTGTCAGATAGCACCAGAATATTGAATATTGAAACATGATGAAGAGCACCAGGATATTGTCAGATATAGTGCCGTAAGATGAGCCCCTCTAGTTGGACAGCACTCAAAATATGACTGGGGAAGAGCTGTCTCCTCAAAGTAGAGTTGAACATTGTGATGTGAATGGAGTAAAGCTTTTGGGACCTTCATTTGCTGATGTGGCAAAATTCAAAATAAGGAGAAATGGTTGCAAACATCCATTACTAATTGAGACATAGAATGTATGACATATAAATCTAGGAAAATTAGAAGTTGTCAAAAATGAAATGGAGTGCATAAACATTGATATCCTAGGCATTTGTGAGTTGAAATGGACTGATATTGACCATTTTGAATCTGACAATCACATGGTTTTCTGTTCTGAGAATGATAGATTCAAGAGGAATGGCATCACATTCATTATGAAAAGGAACATTTGAAGACCTATCTTGAAGCACAATGCTGTCTGTGACAGGATAATATCCATCCGCCTTCAAGGAAAACCAGTTAATACTACCATTATTCAAATGTATACACCAAGCATTAAAGCCAGTGATGATGCAATTGAAGAATTCTACCAACTTCCTCAGTCTGAAACTGATCAAACATGCAATCAAGATGTATTGATAATTACTGGTGATTGGAATGCGAAAATTGGAAAGAAAAATTTAAAAAGAGGAAAATCTGGCCTTGGTGACAGAAACAGTGCTGGAGACACATGATAGAATTTTGCAAGACGAATAACTTCTTCATTGCAAATACCTTTTTTAAGCAACATAAATGATGGCTATACACATGGACCTCACCAGATAGAATACATAGAAATCCAATTGAATACATCTGTGAAAAGAGATGGTGGAAAAATTTCATATCATCAGCTAAAACAAGGTCAGGGGCAGACTGTGGAGTAGACTATCAGTTGCCTATATGCAAGTTCAGTCTGAAGCTGAAGAAAATTAAAACAAGTCCATGACAGCCAAAATAAGACTTTCAACATATCCCACCTGAATTTATAGACCATCTCAAGAACAGATCTGATGCATTAGACACTAATCACCAAAGACCTGAAGAGTTGTGAGATGACATCAAGAACATCATATAGAAAGAAAGCAAAAGATCATTAAGAAGACAAAGAAGAAGAAAATGATCCAAATGGATTTCAGAATAGATTCTGAATCTTGCTTTCCAGTGCAGAGATGCTAAAGCAAATGATGGAAGAAATGAGAAGCTAAAAGAGCTGAATAGAAAATTTCAAAAGTCTGCTCGAAAAGTCAAAAATTATAGTGAAATGTGCAAAGACCTGGATTTAGTAAACCAAAGGGAAGAACACGCTCAGCGTTTCTCAAGCTGAGGGAACTGAATAAAAAATCCATGTCTTGACTTGAAATTGCTAAGGATTCTATGGGCAAAATATTTCATGACGTAGAAAGCATCACAAAAAGGTGGAATTACTTTACCAAAAATAAATGGTCGATGTTTAACTATTTCAAGAGGTAGCATATGATCAAATGCCAATGCTACTGAAGGAAGAACTGCAAGGTGTACTGAAGGCTTTGACAAAGAACAAGGCTCTGGGAATTGATGTACTATAAATCAAAATCTTTCAACAAACTGATGTGGCACTGGAGGAACACTCACTCATCTATGCCAAGAAATTTGAAAGACAGCTACCTGTACTTGTTCCCATTCCAAAGAGAGAGGATCCAACAGAATGGAGAAATAATTAGACAACGTCATTAATATCGCACGAAAGTACAATTTTGCTAAAGATAATTCAAAAATGGCTGCAACAGTACATTGAAGGAGAACTTCCAGAGGTTCAAGCCAGATTCAGAAAAAGCTGTGGAACGGGGATATCGTTGCTGACATCAGATGGATCTTGACTGGAGGCACAGAATACCAGAAAGATGTTTACCTGTTCTTTATTGACTATTCAAAGACTTTCAATTGTTTCGATCATGACAAGCTATGTATGACATTGCAGAAAATGACTATTCTGGATCATTTCATTGTGCTCATAAGGAACCTGTGCATAGACCAATGAGCAGTTGTTTGAACAGAACAAGGGAACACTGAGTGGTTTAAAATTAGGAAAGGTGTGTGACAGGGTTGTACTTTTTTCACCAAATTTATTCAATCTATGCTGAGTAAATAATTCAAAAAGCTGGGCTATATAAAGAAGAATGTGGCATCAGGATTGGAGAAAGACTCATTAACAACCTGTGACATACAGATGATACTGCCTTCCTTGTTGAAAGTGAAGAAGACTTAAACTAACTACTGATGAAGATCAAAGACCACAGACTTCAGCATGGGTTGCACCTCAGTGTGAAGAAAACAAGAACCCTCACAACTGGACCAATAAATAACATTAAGATAAATGGAGAAAAGATTGAAGTTGTCAAAGACTTCATTTTGTTCAACCAACCATTAATACTTATGGAAGCTGCAGTCAAGATACCAAATGATATATTGCATTAGGCAAATCTGCTGCACAAGAACTCTGTAAAGTGTTCAAGAACAAAGGTGTCAGTTTGAGGACTAAGACTTGACCCAAGCCTGGATATTTTCTATAACCTTATATGCATGTGAACATTGGACAGTGAATAAAGATGACCATAGAAGAATTGATGCATTTGAGTTATGTTGTTGGAAGAGAATATTAAAATACCATGGATTGCCAAAAGATCAAACAAATCTGTATCAGAAGCAGTACAGCAGGAATGCTCCTTAGATAGGCAGACTTCATCTCTTATACTTCAGACATAATGTCAGGAGTGACCAGTCTGTAGAGAAACATATCATCGTGAATTGGAGGTTCAGTGAAAGACAGGAAGACCTCCAATGAGATGGACTGGCAGAGTGGCAGCAGCAGTATGTTCAAACATAGCGATGATTTTATGGTTGGCACAGGACTGAGCAGTATTTCGTTGTGTTGTGAATAAGGTCGCTAAGACTCCTTGGCACCTAACAGCCACAACAGTTTCCTGATATTTAATATAGAAATGATGAAAAGTAATTCAGAGGTTTTTGTAAGGATAAAATCATATGAGCTAATGTGGAAATTTTGGATCTTTAAATGTTAGTAACTATCATCACTAATAACTTATTGGATTCAGTCATATGACCTTTATATTGCTGACATCATTTAAGTTCTTCACACATATCTCATGCTCTCTTAGTTAAAAATGTATGTTGCTTTGATGGAAGTGACTAGTTATTCATTTTTATGATGCTAGCAGTGCCATTAGTGTCATGGGCTTTTTTGTTAATAAATGAATAAATAAACGAGAATACAGAAGTACAGTATTGATTTAAGAACTTGATTCTTTTAAGAATTTGATTCTTAAAGGGGGGGGAGCAATAATTTAGCACTTATATCTTGAAGTTTAGCTAACCATTTTTTCGGATAAGGTGAAATGATCTGGAGTATGAAGTAAGAAGTTTTAAAAAGACTAAGGTGGGAATAAAAGGGGAAGATTGGGTAATAACCTTCAAAATTCTTTGGGACATTTTTAAGTCACCGATTCCTGAGCTGTTATAAGTGTATATATTCCTGCAAGCACGTAGTGCAGAAAAATGATTTAGGACACCTGTCCACTGTACTAAATGGGAATCAAAATGTTTCTTTACAGAATAGATCATTTTTGTATTTTCTCTACAAAGCTTGATTCTAGGTCAAGGTCATATGAATATATGAAAGCTGTTTTGTTTTTGTTTTTTTCCAATCAGTCTTACCTTGCGATTGCTCTCAGTATTCTTATACTGAGGATTATCCTCAGGATTATTGAAGGAGAGGGTGCAATTAGAACAGAAAAAGAAGATATTAGGAAACAAGTGTCATCCCTTTACTCCACGTCTTTAGAATTTAAGTGGTACAAAGGCGAGACTCTAGAAGGGTATTTTCTGAATGAGGAGACCTGAGGAAAAGAATTTATTTACTAGGTTATGACCTTTGTTTTTAAGTCAGTGATGTGTCAGAGTGGAATGGAATTTTAATAACTAGGGTATTTAAGGACCTGATGCTAGTGTTTTTTATCAAAGAGAATGCACAATCAGTTATTATTTATCTTCCTTGGCCATTGAACCCAGAGGTTTTATCTAATATTCCTGCCTCTAGTCAACACACCTTCAGCCAGCAAGCACTTATTAGGTTCTGGTTACTATGGCTGGTTCTCTGTGGAAAAGAATAAATAGCAAAAGCAAAAATAACAGTGGATTGTTATCATGAGAGTAAATAGAGACAAACACCTCCATATCTCTGTCACTAATCCCATCCATTTTGTAGCACTCAGTACTGTTTAGGGTTGTGATATCAGAAAAGACATGCATGAAGTACCTGGCATAAATCTTCTGCTAACAAGCCAAAGGGTTTCTTTTGACCACCTTACCCATTATTCACCTGATACCCACAGTTAGCCAACTGTTGATCAAAATTTGGTGCATTTGTTTTTGCTAAAATTATGATGCTTGTTCTACTGATATTTCTTCACATTGTTCTGTCACTCCTCTCTTGATGTGTTTCAAGTCAGATGGAAATGCCTCTCATTTCTATGACAACCAAAGATAAGGCTTATTCTCTAGACTTTATCCCTCAAAGGACTTTATCAGTTAGATAAATATGAAGACCCCTGACAAGTTCATAGCTGACTGTAAGCTAGTTAAAATATTGAACAAAGAACTTACTAAAAAAATCTCTAATTACAAATCAAGGAATTCATTTTACTCCTTCTAAATTGGAGATGGTCCCATATGAAATACTAAAGTTATTGAGAAAAGCCCATGAAGGAATCACTTATGAATAAGATTATGGAGAGAATTGAGATATTTCATTCACTGACAGTTGTACTGAACAAATCCTATGCCATAGACACAATGGTATTGTTGCCATTACATTGATTCCAACTTATGATGACCCCATACTTGAAAGAATAGAACTGCTCCGTAGGGTTTTCAAGGCTATGACCAAATATACAGTGGATGACTGGAAAGACATCTTCCCTGGCCTCAATGAACTTAGTTTTTATGGAGGGAAATAGATAAAAACACTATACAAATAAATCGCAATAATTTAAAAAACAGTCACAGGTGATATTTACTGAGTGTTATTTAGGTGTCAGGCACTGTTCTAAATATTAAATGTGCTAACTCATTTAAACCTCACAACAACTATAAGAGTTATTGTTAGGTGTAGTAGAGTCCATTACGACAACAGAACAAAACACAACCCAGTCCTGCCCCTTCTTCACAGTTACTATGTTTGACCCTTGTTGCTGCCACTGTGTCAATCCATCTCCCTGAGCGTCTTCTTTTTCTATGATCTGTCTTCATTTTCCTTTCTCTAGGGACTGGTCCCTCAAGACAACATGCTCAAAGTATTAGATATGAAGTCTCACCATCTTCAGTTCTGAAGATCGTTTTGGTTTTACTCCTTCCAAGACTGATTTGTTTGTTTTTCTGGCAGTCCATGATATTTTCAATATTACTCACCAACACCATAATTCAAATGCGTAGATTCTTCTACAGTCATCTTTATTCATTGTCCAACTTTCACATGCATATGAGGCAATTGGAAATACCATGGGTTAAGTCAGGTGTATCTTAGTCTTCAAAATGATATATTTGCTCCTTAGCACTTTATGAAGAGTGCTTTTTCAGCAGATTTGACCCGTGCAATATATCTTTTGATTTCTGGACTGCTGCTTCCATGAGTGTTGATTATGGATCCAAGCAAAATGAAGTCTTTGACAACTTCAATCTTTTCACCATTTATATATTGTTCTTGTTGTTGTCATGTGCCATCGAGTTGGAACCGACTCATAGTAACCCCATGTACAGCAGAACGAAACAATGTCCGATCCCGGGCCAACCTCACTACCACCGCCACACTTGATGCCATCAATGCTGCCACCTGCCCAATCCATCTCGTTGGGGGTCTTCCTCTTTTTCTCCGACCCTCCATCTTACCCAGCATGACATCCTTCTCTAGCGACTGGTCCCTCCTGACAATATGTCCAAAGTATGAGAGACGAAGTTTAGCCATCTTGGCCTCAAGGAACTCTCTGGCTGCACTTCTTCCAAAACAGATCTACTGATTCTTTTGGCAGCCCATGGCACTTTTAGTATTTTCCTCAATTCTTCTACGATCTTCCTTATTCATAGTCCAGGTTTCGCATCCATATGAGGTTATTGAAAAT